ACATTACAACAACAACCTAAGAAAATGTACGCCTCCCCCTGTGAGTGACATAGGAGCCAATGACAGCTCGATAACGAGCAAAATGGCGCGAAATGACGTAACTACTATAGAACCGGGGGAGGGGACAGAACAAACGCGTTACAATTGTAACGAGTATTTACAGCTCTGTCAATGATACTATTACCAATCTATTTAATGAGTGTTTCCCTTTAAATAAAGTAAAAATGTCTTCACGCGACCTGCCATATATGACTCCCCTGGTCAAACACTTACGTAACTGATAAGAAACAAGAACATAACAAAGGGAGTAAACAGTGATCTTCAAAAACGTATTGATGAACTAATTCGCGAAAATCTTGTATTTGTGCTGTTAATGATGCGAATGGGGAAAATACTAATGAATCCAAAAAAGTGGTGGGATACTGTTAATAAAATAATTGTCAGTAATATTAGTTAATGCAGTCATCAATCCACATGTTATCAATTCGCACTTTCAAAATGTAAATACAGATGCGAATTTCATATCCCCCCAGCCTATATCAATTCCTGTTGGCACTCGAGTTCCTACTGTTGACGAACCTGCTGTTATAATTTTTTTTAATTAAATTAAAACGAACAGCGCCAGGTCCTGGGAATATTGGCTATGGAAGGCTTTTCACATGTTTTAGCGCCTATAATTAATACTAAACTGTTCAATCTTTCAATCGAGCAACATTGTATCCCGCTCATGTGGAACTTGCCAAAAGCCTTTACCCAAAGGATTTCCGATCCTTTAACAGAGTGCAGCCAGTAGCAATTGATACACCGGGTGGAAAGCGTAATTTAAAGTTGAGACCCATACCGCTTACAAACATCATAATGAGACTCTTTGAAAGGCCACAACTGATGCATTGATCATGTGTTTACATCATTAATGGCATAAGTTGTTAGATGAAGGTGCAGACTATATGTTCGGGTAATGTCATTTGATTTCAAGAAAGCTTTCGATTCGCTCTCCCATAAAATTATCTGTGAAAAACTGAAATCACTTAAAATTAACCCTTATGTTGCAAACTGGATCATTAGTTTCTTGGCTAATAGGAAACAAAAAGTAGTTGTTGATGGCATAGAGACGATGTACGTTGATATTAACAAAGGCGTACCGCAGGGTACGGTTTGGGACCATCTCTATTTTCGCTGATGGTAGATGACATAAAACCCGTACATGAAAAAAAACAACCTTTTGGTCAAATTTGATGATGATATAAAGGCAAGTGTTGCAGTAAAATCAGGATTGGATTCTGTATCCGCTGAGGCTGTTGGAATTCAGAATTGGCCGGAAACAAATAAAATGACACTAAATATTTCTAAAACGTGGGAAATTGTTGTACAGAGTGGGTCAACGAAACCCTTACCAACACCGATTGTAGGCATTGAACAAAAGATATATACTAAAACTGTCTGTACCAGTGTAGGTAGTACCAATGTGAAAATGCTGTGCTGAGTGGTTATATTACTACCTTAAAAAATAAGCAGAAACTTCACGTTTCGAGCGAAGGCCCTTCGTCAAGAGTTAGTATAACTAACTCTTGACGAAGGGCCTTCGCTCGAAACGTCGACAGCAAAAAATCATTTTCTTATTAAGAAAAAAAATTCTTAATTTAAGAAAAAAAATCTTAAAATAAGAAAATAATTTTCTTAGTAAGAAAAATTTTTCTTGAAATAAGAAATTTTTGAATCCCAAGATATCTTTTTCTTAAAATAAGAAAAAATTTTCTTAATAAGAAAACATTTTCTTAAAATAAGAAAATACGATTTTCTTACTTTCTTAATAAGAAAACATTTTCTTAAAATAAGAAAATACGATTTTCTTACTTTAAGAATATGTTCGTAAGACAAGAAATGAAATTCTTAAAATACAAAATTATAAAATAGTAAGACATTATTACTTAAATTTTCGAAGCAAGAAAATGTAAAATCCTAGTGTTATAGGACAACTTATATCTTAATTAACAAGACTTAGAACAACGTATATCTTATTGCGTCAGGTAAATTTGTAGTTTTTATTTCGAATTGAAGAGACTATATGACTGGCAGCTCACGGTTGATCAAACACTAAATGGCCGGCAGTACATATAGTTAAAGTTGAATCTTCAGTATAAGATAGATAAACCGATCCCCAATCCCAAACCCTTCTCTAACCCTAACCCCTAACCCTAACCTTTTGAGAGTTAGACCGGCTGCCGGTAATATAGTCATATTGTTTTTATTTCGTTTCCAAAATTTGAGCTCGTTTCAGTTTTATTGAATCCTTGAAGAGAATTTTTGCCCTCCGGAATTTTTATCCAAGCAGGAATAGTTCGCCATAGTTCGCGTATTCACTAAATGCCTGGTACCTAGTTTACCTTTTAGAACGCGGAGCATCGCGGGATAGCGTCGTTTTACATTTTTGTGAAAAATTTTATATAAATATCCATGGCATTAAAGGCGCCTTCAAGGCAATTTAAATGGCAAATAACGATGGGAAAAGCATCAGAAAGTCCTTAAAATGTTGTTCAGATACCACAGGTAAGAATAATTGTATATTTGACTTGTTATTTAAACAGATTCATTGCAAAAATAATGTAGTGATTATGACTGTTTACTTGAGCGAAGTGTGAAAATATTCCATTGAATGTTTGAATTTTCCGCGTTCGTTTTGCATATAAAACATGCAAATGTTGCTTTCAGGCAAGGGACGAAAGATTAAAATATAAATTCATATCCATTATTGTGAATTCCATACTAATTTACGCACTAATATTAACAATTTGACAATATTAAATTGCCTTTGACATTGGCACTTTGCTAGACCTTTCAAATGTCAAAACTCAAGGCTATATAGTGATATGAAATAAGATATTATACATACGGATGTTTTTGAAGATCTGTTAGCATTTTAATACTTGAATAAGGATTGGAATTACAGGAGAATGACAGCATTTAATCTGATATTTTCAGTGTATAGATAGCTGAATTGCATCCTACTTTATTGTTTACTCTGTCTAATGCCAGAGGATTTTCCTACTTGCCTTGCCGGATAACTTGGCTACTGTAGAGAATGTTTAGTTTTCCCGACTTACTATACTTCACCCGGGAAACTCTGCAACCCTAGATAGAATGAATAGCCCAGGAATACATACAAATCATTAGGTATGTTTATAGCTTTCCTCTATTTCTATAAGCAGCTTATTCTTGCCTGTTTTGTAATCATGTTTTTTAAACCTTTTGAATGATCCAAATTGTGTTTGTATTTTGTCATTGCGCAGCAATAATGGGGTAACTTGATTTCATATAAATAGACTGCTTTTTGTCCTGCCTGAGTGAGTAACTCACCTTGACGGGTAACTCGCC